GTATCGTTACCCCTGTATCGTGATAGGTATCGTATCGTTACCCCTGTATCGTGATAGGTATCGTATCGTTACCCCTGTATCGTGATAGGTATCGTATCGTTACCCCTGTATCGTGATAGGTATCGTATCGTTACCCCTGTATCGTGATAGGTATCGTATCGTTACCCCTGTATCGTGATAGGTATCGTATCGTTACCCCTGTATCGTGATAGGTATCGTATCGTTACCCCTGTATCGTGATAGGTATCGTATCGTTACCCCTGTATCGTGATAGGTATCGTATCGTTACCCCTGTATCGTGATAGGTATCGTATCGTTACCCCTGTATCGTGATAGGTATCGTATCGTTACCCCTGTATCGTGATAGGTATCGTATCGTTACCCCTGTATCGTGACAGGTATCGTATCGTTACCCCTGTATCGTGATAGGTATCGTATCGTTACCCCTGTATCGTGACAGGTATCGTATCGTTACCCCTGTATCGTGATAGGTATCGTATCGACAGATTGTTGCCGATACACAGCCCTCCAACACAGCGGTGGAGTGAAGAGTCTAGATCGTCCACGTGTGCTGTTCACTGTCCTCCTCCCTCAGTTGCCTTTTCTGCCACAAACCCAGGGAAACATCTAAAAATACCCCCTCTCCCATGGTAACGTCCTGACTCTGTAACACTCAGATGACAAGAGCAGGTCTGAAAACCAGAACAAAAAAAATCCACAGCTTTTAACTCAGACCTCCTGGATGAGAGAACTCATTCTCTAATGGACACTTTTACAGGGTACAGTTGGTGACAGTAACTCTGTCAGATGATTTCACACAGATTAATGCAGCTCCAACATTAATCCACTAATGCTTGTTTTTCCATGGCACAGCAGAAATGCTTAGATTTCTCGCTCAATAAAAAAAAAAAAACCCAGTGAGATTTACAATTCAAGTCACTGAAGTGTTGTTTGATGCTCATGTGTAGAATTTCTTTTTTTTTCCTCCTCACCCGTGGCCTCCACCATTCCCTCCAGGATGACCACGATCTCAAAGTCCTCCTTCTCCAGCTGGGCCTGGGACATGTCCCAGAAGGGCGAGTGGGTGTCGATCTCGTGGGAGATCACCAACGGCGAGACGAGGAAGAGGCGATCGTCACCGGTCTCGAAGCCCACGCTGATGTCGGTCTGGTCCAGAGGGATGAACTCACCTGGTGGTGAGCAGAGGAACATACATGTTCACCACTTCAAAATAAATCCAAGTTGTAATTATAGTCGGGCCAGATTTTCAAACCCAGAACTTCAGCCGTACCTTTTATTTCTGGGAATAATCAGGAGGTAACAATATTTAGACCAAAACAAATAATTTTAATTTTTTTGGGGGGTAAAAAAACAACGCATTTGTTGCAAGTTAAATATATTTAAAGCCTGGAGTTTGCAGTAAAATCCACAGGTATTTGACAGTTATTTCTAAAGTGAAACAAACATGGTGCAGACTGGGCCACTCTAAGGTTCTTTCTGGGCTGCACGTGGCCCGCTGGCCACGGTTTGGTGCTAAAGAGAACCATAATATATTCCAGGGAGGTTGGACACCTGCAGATATTAATGATTGTTTTTTTTTAGAAGAAGACATTTTGTTTAATACAGTGAGAGTGGTCTGGACTTGGACTAGGATGCAGCCCGGTGCCCACTCACCTTCCTGGGTCTGTTTGGACTTGATGAGCTTGGCCCTCATGTTGGCTCCTACGATGTGGGAGCTGCGCAGGTCGCCAACCCTGAACATGAGGCAGAGCTTGTCGTCTCTCAGCGAGATGACGGCGTGCTTGGAGAAGACCAGCGTCTCGGCTCGTTTGTTGGGCTGCGAGATCTTCACAAACATGCAGCCCACCTGGACAGGAGGAGACAGGAGGAGACGGTGAGTTCACGTAAAGTTGAGAATGGGAAGTTTGCCGTGACAGGGATTTTATTTCTAAAACGAACCTCAGTCCTCATTCATTTTTACCACATTCAGGGAAACAGCTGCTGATGTGGCCCAGTCCCAGCTCCCACACATGCATAAACACGGCGCTGCCGGAGCGTCAATGTGTAGATTAATCCTCATCAGAGTTGTGCTTACGCGGCACAAAAAGTGCAGCTGAATTTGCATATTCATCCTCAGACAGAGGGCCATCTGTGCTGCGTCGCTGCTGTTTTGTCTGCCTGGCATTTATGCTTTCACTCCTCGCTTACAGGAGATGAAAAAAAAAAATTACTGGGTAAATTTGGGGACCAAAGTGATTGGAGCCAATCGTGTTTCAGATGATTCAGCTAGCTTAACCGCTAATCCCCTGTCGTATTCACAGGGTCAGAGAAAATATTTGACCCAGTGAACAATCTGGATTTTTTTTTTTCTATTCTGTTGCAATTTACAGAATGTCCTATAGAGTGATGTTTTTTCCAGTGTAAAAGCGAACCAGCAGATGGCAGTAATGCGTCTGATTCATGTTTTCTCTAAAACCTCCATTTGTCCCCACGTCAGTTCCGTTTTCTCCCAGCGGTGGCGCTGCTCACCATGAAGGCGTTGACCATTGATCCCAGTATGGCCTGCAGCAGCAGCAGCATGGTCCCCACTGGACACTGGTCCGTGATGACGCGGTGGCCGTAGCCAATCGTGGTCTCTGTCTCGATGGAGAACAGGAAGGCGGAGATGAAGCCGTTGACGTTGTTGACGCAGGGCGTCCAGGTGGTGTCTTCAAGATGGTCCAGGTCTCCTCTGGGGAAGAAAGGACGGAGCGGGAGAGTGTGGGAGGGAGGGAGAGAGGGAGGGAGGGGGACAACGTGGGTGTGAAATGTCAAAAAAAGACAGAGTGAGAAGATGGTTTTTATTTTTAGAATGTGTGTGTGTGTTTACACGCAGCTACAATCGTCGTCGTCTCCATCAGTCACTCAGTCTTCATTCATCAAAAACAAATCTAAAACGTATGTTTACATTAAATATTTTTTTTAACATTCAACCGAAAGATGACTAAGAGTTAGCCAGAGGATTCTTAAAAAAATAATAAATGTCACATGACAACAGAAGGTTTGCAACATCTGGCTAATTGTTAGCCTTAAACAAGTTACTAAAGAAATAAGAAACAGTTAGCAACAGCAGGACAACGGTAGTAAAGGTTGAAGGTTGCGGGTGCTATTCCAGGCTTGCCAGCTTTAATGCCTTGCTCTCACAAAGCACTGTAGCAGTAACGTAACCCTATTAGCAGCAGAGACGTTCAAGCTAACGGTGGTTTTCTATTGGACTAGGCCAAACCTGTCTCCTATTGGCTGTGAAATAATAATAATAATTATTATTATTATAATAATTATTAATCTGACCCTGTGATCCAGAGCACCAACCAGTAACCACTGCTCCACCGCGGTGGCCCTTCGATCAGTCATATTTCTCAGGCTCCTTTAATTAAATCACCACCTTTTTTTCCACAGATCGCTCCACGGGCTGTAGATCATGTGACCCAGACTTTTCTGCAACCCAGGCTAGAAACGCCCCATCAGTCATGTGGACAGGCAGATGACAGAGCGCTCTTCATATCAGCAGCCACTGGAGGTGTCTGCCGGACCTCCACTCTAATTAGCTAACGTATTTGTCTCGTAAAACCCTGACCTTTTTATATCAATTACAGGCCCCGCCCCCGAGCGGAGCCAGACAACCGTCGCCGTTGCAGCGGGTTCCCTGTTCGCCGACACGGGTCGATAAAACTCATAGATGATATGAAATACCTCACACCACTTACATTAATTAGTCTGACCCCTTCCCCCCCCGCTCCCCCCCCTCCCTGCCCCAGCTCCCTGTGTGAGGCTAAAACTGTGGCGATCAGGGACAAGAATGGTCAAATAATCATTGAATAATAATCATTTCAAAGACGTTAATAACAATAAACACTGTCTAAAAGACGTTAATAACAATAAACGCTGTCATTCCACTGTCTGGGATTTCCATCACCCGTGACCTCACCTGCAGTACGCAATGAGGTACCAGATGGCGCCAAAGAAGAGCCATGTGACGGCGTAGGCCATGACGAAGACGAAGAGCGAGCAGCGCCAGTTGAGGTCCACCAGCGTGGTGAAGATGTCGGTCAGGTAACGGTACGTTTCCCTCATGTTGCCGTGCTGCACGTTGCACCGGCCGTTTTTCTCCACGTAGCGCTGCCTCTTACGTCGGGCCCGAGCTGAGAGAGAGAGAGAGAGAGAGAGAAGAAACGAGGAGGGAGATGAAAAAAAAAATTGTCTGGGGTCGCAGCTAACTTCTGGAACCAGGTGTATCTGTCATAACTCTAGGTTTGGGTCTGACCTAGAACCAGAAATAGACGTCTGAGGCGGAAGAAAAAAAAAATCAGGTTACTAACTTTGGAACGGAGGGATCTACATTTGTAGAAGAAAGAAAAGAAAAAAGAAAATGAACCAGCACCAGGAATATTGGACTGGGGGACCCAACCCCTGGTCCGCGGACCAATACTGGTACGTAGATAATTAAGTACTGGGCCACAGCTTTTATTTTTATTTTTACTAAGTCACCTAATTCAAAGAGAATCCACTCACTATTTACTGTCTTCATTTTGAAAATTAATTGATCCTTACTGATAGATCAACAACTGGTCCGCAACCTTTTTTGGTACAAAAAAAAGTTTGACCGCTGATGTGGTCCTCGTGGAGTCTGAGATCATACAAGTGGAAAACAAAATTCTTCTCCGCTGTTTTGTTTTGTTTTGTCCGCTACAACGTCGACTGACAACAACACCAGATATCCAGAGGTGAACATGGAAATCGATATGCGAGGCAGTGAATCCCGGCCTGTTGGCTGCAGCCACGGTGACGGATCATTAAAGAGACAAGAACAAATCTGCCTTTGTTCTCTGTCGGGGTTTTTTTTTTTTTAGCTCTTTTGATTTAGAGTAGGTGTTTAGATCTGTAGGAACACGGCTGAGAGTGTTCTGGACATGAAGACGATCACTGACATCTACAGACGACCAATGACAACTGAGGAGGGATCAATGAGGATCTGAGGCACAACCTCACAGAACGCGGTCCAGATGATGTGGACCAAATGATGTGGTCCAGATGATGTGGACCAGATGATGTGGACCAGGTGATGTGAGTTAGTTTCCACCCACTCTAACTTTGAGGTATTTTGCATCATTTATTGTAGTTTTACATCAAATAAATGGTAAGAAAAAAACCAAACAAACAAAAACAGCACCTTGGGTTAGCTTAGCTTTGTCCTGGCTAATGCTTAGCCATTGTTGCTAACTTAAATGCTAATTCTGAGCTGGCTCTTTACCAACTTCCTGGATGAATTTAAATGTTTGTGTCTATCTGTTCAGCTTGGCGTCCTCTCTGGGAGGATTTCTGGTCACTCCAGGTCAGAGGTCACATGTAGCAACACTCACCCCACCCAAATCGGCCCCGCTCCTTCTCCGGCCCCTGGGTCTTCTTCCTGGGCTGGTTGGCGGTTGCCTCCCTCTCCGCCAGCTTGGCCTGGAACGACCTGTTGACCTTGGCTGTGGGCGGAGGGGACAGCGCGGTCTCCATAGTGACGACGGGAGCCAGATCCATAGGTTGAAGCCGCCCGGGGAGGCGGTGGCCTCGGTGGCCACCTCCACATCTGGGCCTTCCCCCTTCTCCTCCACGGGGAGAGACAGGGAGTCGGGTCGGGAGGGAAAGACGGAGTTTTCCAGCGCCATGGCCTGGCACCGTACAGTGGAGAGTGTGGGCGTGGTCTGGTGGCGTCCTCCCTACAGCAAAGTCAGTCCTCCACCTTTAGATGTGACCATTTGTTTCGCTCGACCGGAGCCTGGAATAGAGAGGAGGTAACGGTCAGAACCAGAGCTTGAGCCACATTTGATGATGGTCATGTGACCGCCCTAACATTTGGGTTGAAGTATTTATATGTTATTATATGTTAGGGTACTGAGTAGAGGCGTGTACTGGGATGAATACTATAGGCCAGTGGTTCTCAAACTGTGGTACGCAGTACCAACGGTGGTACGCCAGCGCCCTCTAGTGGTGACACGGGGAGAACTGTTTTCTGAAAGTTTGAGGTCCACTGGTCGAGGCAGAACGATGTATTGAGTTTTTTTTTTTTTTCATTTCTATTAATATTAATGTAGCCAGAAAAGGTTTGAGGCCAGATGTAGATTCAGGTTCATGTTAAAGCAGAGGTTGGACTGTTGTTCAGATGAGAGTCAACACACGGTCCTCACAGGAGTCTGTTGATTCTGTTTCTTACATAAGACCAGTGGTGACAGTCTGACTGTATTTATAGAACCAGGAGTTGTTCCGGTGACCAAACCTGGATCTAACCAGGCGGAAACTCCCGTTTGAGGCTCAGAGGAGCTGTGGTTAAAGTTAGTTTTAGTTTGTTGTCTGAGTTTGGACAGTTAACAGGTTTAAGTACCGACCAGGACTAGGACTAGGACTAGGACTGTGTCCTGGCTGTGTTTCATACATTAAATAACACGGCGCTGGCGAAGGAAGCTGCGCAAACCTGTGTGTGTGCGCGCGCGCGCGCGCGTGTGTGTGTGTGATATTTGCACAGTTAAAATGGAGCCTCTCTGCTGTGTGTCCTGTCCCGGAGGAGAAACTGACGGTGACAGTCAGGATGACGCACACGACGGCGGTGATGGATGGAAGACAAAACACACGGTGCTACCGTATTAACGGCTCAGTCCGTTAGCACACACACCGACACACACTGGTGTGGCCCATGAACACACACACACACACACTCCTACCTGTTCAGAGTGCAGCTGCAGCCCGTACTGCCCGCTGTTGGATCAGGAGGAAAAACAGACCGTGGTCAGAGATGGAGCCGAGGACATCGGCAGCAGTGACTCGGTGACTCCCATTTCCCCCCCGTTTATCACAGACGCAGCAGCAGCAGCAGCAGCAGCATCGATCCACTCCTGTGCGCGTTTACCCCGGAAAAACAAAAAGCACCTCGGTTAAAAAAAAAAAAAATGTCTCGGTCGCAGCGTTTGACGCAAAAGCAAATAAAACCGAGGTGATAAAAAAAGGGAAGGAGGTTCATGTGAAGGAGAGGATGAGGAGAGAGGAAAGGTCGGTGTGAAATGGAGGCAGAAGAAAAACCCGGCAGAGTGGAGGAGACTCCATCATCTGAGCAGCTGACTGAGTGGGTCAGGTGTGGAGAGATGATGATGATGATGATGATGATGCTGTTGTCATCGTCGTCATCATCATCATCATCATCATCATCATGGTCGTTATCATTATTACTTCAAGCTGCAGTTTTCTTTATCACCACTATCAACTTCAAATCTATCTTCATCATAAACGTACTAATCAGCATTAATGACGTCATCATAATTACCTTGACCTTCTTTTTAATAATCAACTTCATCATCATGTCATCGCCGATTTTTCGCTTCATCATTGCTGTAAAAATCACTTGATAGTTGTTATTATCATTGACGTTACCATCTTCATCATCACGTCATCGACGCTGTCGTCATCATTATCACAATCATCACCGTCATCACCATAGCTGTTACTGTTATTTGAATTATCTCAATTATCACCATTAAAATAACAATTACCATAATCGTCCATACTGTTATAATCTTCATTATCATCATCATCATCATAAAATCGTCATCTTGAACACCAATATCAATATCGTGATGAATTTCATTTATTAAAATGTTTTCATTTATTTTTCATTTATTAAAACTTTTATTTAAAACAAATAAAACTATGTCTTCCTGTATTTATTTTAGAGTTTGTAAATATGAGTAGTGACGTTGAGATTTTTCATATTTATTCAATATATTATAATATTCGTTGTTCGCCCTCCGGCCTCTAGTCGGTGCTCTATGTTCCGCCTGTGGCCGGTGTTCCATCCTCCTTTTCCAAGATGTCGGTGTTCGGGCCAGTGGTGAAAATTCACCCCGTAGTTCTCGCTTCTATAAGCGACTCGTACGAGCGCAGGAATGAGGGAGCGATCCGTGTGATCGGGACATTGTTGGGTAAGGACGTGTTTGTGTGTCCGTGAACCGATCACAGGTGGTGGGTTAGCCGCGTTAGCTCAGATTAGCCTGTCTCTGCTAATGCACGTTGGATGTAGCCGTTAGCCGCTGTTAGCCGTTCGCAGCATCACCGTAAACAGCTGGGTGTTTGTTTGACTAATAAATGGAGTCACTGACCGTCTGTGTATATGTTATTTATGCGATATCTGTGAAAGGTTACATACGGACAGTTTATCTATTAGAGGAGGCTCAAATGTCATTATAATAAATGTATTTGGTGTCGGCGTTTAGAAAATAAATAAAAGTAGCTCGGAAGCTAAAAATGACGTAATAGACCACGTCTTTAACAAAGGTTATTATGCTAGCACCCTCCCCTCTCCCCCACAAAGAAATACTGTTAATAAAGGTTTGTTCTCTGGAAATGTTGATATATTGGTGAATGTGTACGATAATGGCGTAGAAATGATTTCACTTCGATTTTTTTCAGGTACTGTTGACAAACACTCCATCGAAGTGACCAACTGCTTCTCTGTCCCACACAACGAGTCTGAGGATGAGGTGGGTGGATTCACTACGTCACAGCTTTGAATTGAACTTTTAAAAAAAAGAAACTGTTGAATAAGTCACTGAATATATTGAATATATATATGTGTGTGTCTGATCTGATGACAGGTGGCTGTGGACATGGAGTTTGCTAAGAACATGTACGAGCTCCACAAGAGGGTCTCCCCCACTGAGGTCATCATTGGCTGGTGCGTTACTGCAGGACTGTTGACATTTTGCACCACTTTGGTTTTTTTTGTCAGTAGAATTTCTCTGACCTCCAGTGTGACCTTTACTTCCAGGTACGCCACAGGCTTTGACATCACAGAACATTCAGTGCTCATCCATGAATACTACAGTCGTGAGGCCACCAACCCCATTCACCTGACTGTGGACACAGCACTGCAGAGCGGCAAGATGAACATCCGTGCCTATGTCAGGTTGGTTGATTGGTTCGGCCTTCACTCTGTGTGACAAGGTTGACTGTTAAAGAGCAGAAGAAGAAATGAAAACTCAGCCAACAGACTGGATGGTAGAATTGAGCTTGTAGCTTCCTTGCTGCTGATTGCCTTGATTTGACGGCGGTTGGCAAAATAACCAGGATTTTTTACAGAAGAACACTTGAATTTATCAGTTGAAACTATGATCTCGTCACTAATATTTTTAGCTAAAATCATAAATGTCAGAGTTAGCCTCTGTTATTCTGAAGGTAAAATTTGTGAGATCTGCTGCTGATGTAGAGCTGATTCCTCTCACTTTGTCAAGTTTGAATTTGGACAGTTGATGTCTATATCAGTCATGTGGTCTGTGACCAGAGTGTGTGTGTATATCTCGTTGGCTTCCACACAGTGCACAGATGGGTGTTCCAGGGAAGACGGTCGGTGTGATGTTCACTCCACTCACTGTTAAGTACATCTACTACGACACAGAGAGGATAGGAGTTGACCTCCTACAGAGGACACGCTTGGCCACCGGTCGCACCAAAGGACTGGCCTCAGACCTGTGCCAGGTCGGAGGAGCCGCAGCCAGGATGCAGGACATGTTGACCACAGTCCTGGCCTACGTGGAGGACGTTCTGGTGAGAACTGAAACTCTTCTTACGGACAGTTTTCAGCCAGACTTCTGGGGATTTTGTCCGTCAGATATTATACCACAGGTGAGTGACGCAGCCCGTTTGTGTTTTCTCAGTCTGGTAAGGTGACGGCAGACAACAGCGTGGGCCGCTTCCTGATGGACCTGGTCAACAAGGTGCCCACCATCTCAGCGGAGGACTTTGAGAACATGCTCAACTCCAACATCAACGTGAGTGCAGTGAACGTCGCTGCGATAACAAACTGGTCAGACCAGGATAGGAAACAAACACCGCGGTATTTTCATCATCCATTTTCTTTTTGTATACAGGACCTACTGATGGTGACCTACCTGTCCAATCTGACCCAAGCACAGATCGCTCTGAACGAGAAGCTGGTGCTGCTCTAAGATCTGTTGAAAGTCCTTCGTATTTAATTTTTGTACACCTTGATTTTGACTGAGATGCAGAATAAAGATGTGAAACAGTCAAGAGCGCTCACTCCTGTTCTGTTCCAGACATGGCCCTGGATAACGCTGTTATTATAATCACCTGTTCGTTAACCCGTTTACCTCGGTGTATATGACTAACGAGCTTCACAGGAAGTGTTGTTTGGTTAATGTAATATCACTGCTGCTGAAGGAATGATCCTGAACCGCGTGTGTGACAGAAAAGAGTCTGAGTCGACGCTGATTAGGTTAGGTATGAACACTGTGTGTGTGTGTGTGAGAGAGGAGGGAAGTGGGTTGAAAAAAAAGTGTTTTTTTGTTGTAAAAAACATCTGTCCAGTTTTCATCAAGGACGTTTTACCAATAATAATATTGAGCTGAACCACTGACATCAGTAGTACATGCAGTACTGCAGTAGTACTGCAGTACTGCATGTTGACTGTCTGAAACTGTTCCTGTAACCTCTGTGCTTCTACCCACCGTCAGGAAGAAGTGCAGATGCTGGAGTGTGAAGTTTTATTACCTCTGCAGTGGAAGGTTATTTTTAGCGGTGGTTCTGTCTGAGCAGCAGAGCTCAAGAAGTCAAGAGCAGGGTTTTTAGGAATTAGGGACGACTGGAGATTAGAGCCCAAGGAAAGATATTCCAAGATTGATTTTTTTTAACTTATTTTTTTACTGAGGAATTAGTTCTGTCCACGGTTGAAGAACATTTTAGAACTGAGTCTGTCCACGGTTGAAGAACATTTTAGAACCGAGTCTCATCAACTGACATTGTCTTTTAGTGTTTATTTGACAATACATCACAGCTGATTGTTGCTTAAAACACTTTATTTTTTGGAGCATCACAGCTGATTGTTGCTTAAAACACTTTTTTTGGAGCATTTTTCATTCATTTACTGCAAACAAGAGCTGCTTTATTATCATCTTAAATTACACACGAGTCAACAAAATAAATCACATTTCTTTGGATTTGTTTTTTTTTTTTTTTAACATCGGACGGCTCACTTTTTAGAAAATAAATAGACATTCTGATTAGGGACAGCAGTGAGTCAGTTGTCATGCCAGGCCTGAGATACATGTGAAGCTCATTAGTGCAAAGAGAGGGCAGAGAAAGTCACACGGTTTAAAGTCACACCAACCGACGGTACATAAGAACTGGGACGAAGTCACTGCCGTGGACAGACACCATCAACTCTTCATGAAAACTTGAAGATGAGGTAAAAGCATTTTTACGTTTGTTTATATCGTTTTGTGACTAAAAACGCCCCCTGGTGGCTGACTGTCAACACTACGTCCACTTCTTATATACAGACTCTAGCTGTCAGATAAAAAAAAGCTCCACACTGATTAGTTTCTTATAGCTCCATGGCTGCAGTAGTCTCTCTCTCTCTCTCTCTCCTCACGATTTACTCTCCGACTCCGGGACTTTTTCATTTTTCTTCTTCGGACTCAACATCTTCTCCAAAGTTGCGTATCCCTGGACGGCGCGCTCGTACACGGAATCTCCCGCGGACCTGGCGATGGAGGCGGCCCGCTCCGGGTAATACAGAGAGGCGCTCAGGGTCATCAGAGCACCCGGGTACAGGAGCTTCTTCAGCCGGGAGCCTCTGGCCAGCAGCAGCCCCAAAACACCGGTGAAGCCGATGACTCCTGCCCGGGGATAGAAGTCCTTAGGCGGGTTCTTCAGGTACACGTAGGTGTCGTTCCCGCACTGAAGGACTTTGTGAACTTTTGGTTGAATTTTGCCATAAGTTTCCTGACACCAGCCGGTGTACGGCTCCGCTAACTTCCGCATGGTGGCGACACTCTTCTCCAGTTCCCCCGTGTCGCGCTCCTCGGCGCCGGGCGAGGGTTGAGGCGGAGCGGTGTAGAGGGACAGTTCATCCAGGGGCAGCAGCGTCGGTGGAGCCGGGGGCTCCTTCTGACCGTCGGTGGTAGAGGCTAGGACGGTGAAGGGAAACAGACCCAGGACTCCCCGCATAACACGACCGTTCACCTTCAACATTATCCCTGTCGGCCATGCGATGTACGGTGGCCGAGAAGGAACATGACGGTCGAAGTCACTTCGCCGGTTTACAGCGTAAACGCCACACTTTAAAGTCGAAATAATGTATATATGTGTCTATATGTGTCCATAAACTACACTAACAATGAAATTGTGATAAATTATAATCTCATTTTATCTTGTAAAAGTTATTGTCATTATTTTTTTTAAATGTCAAAAAGTGGCACAATGTCCGTAAACGTCACAAACACGACGAGAAAACGTTTATTTTCTTTCGTAAACACATTGACTTTAACGATACAAGTTCCCTGTCGTCACTTTTACTGCATTTCTTTTACTTTGATCTAAACTTCATCGCGGTTTCGTTGACAATTAACATCTACTCGTGTGTCAGGTGAACATTTCAATCGGAGTTACTTTGGTTTTTGAAGAGAAGGTAACGCAAACTTTAACATTTTCGGTACTGAGTTATAACTCAATAATCATCCATTTAATACCTGGAATTCGAGGTACAATCTTGAATTTCGGCTTCAGTTCTTCTATATATATCGTATATCGTTTATAAACTACGGTACGATGCAAATCATATTTTTCATTTTATCCCATAAAATGTCCTTTAATCGTAGTAAAATATTCACACGTCCAAACTGTACAAATGCGATATTTATTTCTATATTTTTAGATTTATCATTTCATTAAAGAGGTCGGAGTAAGTAGAGCGCTTCCGGTGACGTCACATGTTGCTATGGCAGCCCGACAGCTTTGTGGTGTCCAGGGAAACGGAGTTTGTCAACAGGAATCGTCCAGACGTTAAATGTCTCGCTGTTCCAGCAGTTTTTTGCTAAAGTATTTTAAAGTTAAATTCTGATTTTTTTTTTCTGTGTTAAACTTTAAAAAAAAAGTTTATTTCCCGTCAGAATGGACAGTCTGGGAGCGTCATCGGCCCAGAGTCTGCAGGCCCTGGCTGAACCAGGAGGACGAGGAGGACAGCGACGAGGACGTCAAGGTAAATAGCTGTAGACTGGGTCGTGACGTCACGTCACGTTTAATGTCTTTATGTCACGTTTATGTCTCTTGTTTCTGATGTTAACGTTTTAGAACAGGTCCTCTGCAGAACAGCTCTGTCCAGGTCACATCGGCCCGTCGACCACGAAGGATAGAGAAGGTAGAAACCACCACATTCTACGAAGTCCTTAAAGGGACATGGAAGGGAATAAATCAATGTTTCGACCCCCCCTCACCCCCATGTCCCATTATTGGCTTCGTAACAATCACTGTAACCCCGTACTCAGATATTTTCACGTACTTCCGTTCACGTTACTTTTCAGTAAAAGATTCCTACGTGAAGAAGAGCAGCAAAGATATCTGGAGTAAGGAAGAAGTAGCCGAGGGCTGTCACTATGACGACCTGAACGACCCCCGACCACAGCCTGAGTGAGACTGAAACACACACAGTCAAACACACACAGTCAAACACACACCTGCAACAACATGTCATGTATTTAGAATGGGGGGAAAATCTGTCAAATATTTTTCTGATACATTTTAGTCACAATCAAAAAATAGAGCTGTTTTAGGAATTACTAAAATAAATAATAAAAATTACTAAATTTTTTTTTTAAATAATTGAATGTGTTTATTTGTCCGTGTCCAGGTATGAAATCATCCTGAAGCAGAGTGTGGGGACGGAGGATCTGTTCCTGGGTTTGAGTGGGAAGAATCCGTCCTCCATGTGCTGTGAAGCCATGCTGGTACTGATGACTACAATATCTATGATGTTTACACCACTAAAAAAATATATATATATCCTGCTTAAATTACTGCATAAATAATAATAATAATAAAAAGGGAGATAAAATACAAGGGAAGAACTTCCTCCTCCAGAAACCGACGTCATTCAAGTATTTTAAAGTGCAGAAACGTGTTACTCTCTCAGTGAAATGCTGACTTTTCTGCAGGTGAAAATCAAACTGCCGGACACCAAAGCATCAGACGTGGTCTTGGATGTAAAAGAGAAGTTCCTTGATCTGCGGACGCCCAAACAGTAAGCTGTGAAAACGATCCCGTCCCTGCAGCCAGGGCTGATTCAGCACTTCAGAAAGAGAGAACGCCATCCTTTAAATCAGCATCTTACTGGACCTCCTGACCAGAGCCTTGATTGCTGTTCCACTTCTCTCTCTCTCTCTCTCTCTCTCTCTCCAGTAAACTGGGTCTTCATCTTCCACATCCTGTCCACAGCCATGAGGCCAGAGCCAAGCTCTTCAGTGAGCAGCAGGAGCTGCAGGTGACGCTGTTGCTCATACACCCCATGGATCTGATCAACATGCAGTGAAGAAGAAAGAAAAAAAAAAGGGGTCAAATACTAAATACTCTTATGAAACAAATACTATGTTGTTTTTAATGTCAGATTTCATGTTTTTTATGAGTAAATACTTCTGTGTATTATATGATCGACTCAAAACATTAAAGGTTTTTTTATTCAATAATATTATTGCTGCTTTTAAAAATCTTCACTGTGTTACACTCATATGAACAGAGAAACATGACGTGTTGTTTTAATTCTTGTGGTCATCTATCGTCCTTTCCAACCTGCAGTATGTAGACCTCTAGTGGAAACCAAGGGCATTGCAGGGGATGGGTGAAACGTTTACCGGTATATATTTTATACTTTCATGTTTAATTATGTCAGGGCTTGTTTCTTGAAACACAAGAAACATGAACACGAGCAGAAAAGGAAAATTAAATAGTTAAGTAAAATATTATTTTCAAATAAAGGCTGTAAAGTTGACACAAGTACATTGAAAATTATTTTTATTTCATAATATGTTGTTAATACGGCGCCCCTACAGGGACATGGAAATAAAAGCAAACACTTCTGGTGCTTACCTGTGAGTTTCAGGTGCGCACCAGAAATGTTTTTAATTGAAATGTTTCAACTTAAGGACGCATCTATTCGTCCATGGGGATCACACACACACAAAAAACCAAAAACAATAATTTGGGGTCCAGACGTGTTCCGGTGTCGCCCCCGTGAACACCAGCGGGCATCTGTGGAGCATTCCTGGGTGTGCAGTGGGTGCCACACCCCCGAGCACCGTTACCGCAGCAGCAGAACAGTGGTGTTAGTGGTGGCGTGATCATGTGACGCTCGCATTTACGACACAACAATACAACACCGCCACGGTCTGCGTCCACGCTCTCTGTCTTCTTTCTCTTTCCTCCCCATCACTTTCCTCACGCCTCGCCTCCCGATTCGTTATGGCGGATGGCGAGAGGTCTCCGTTGCTGTCAGACCTGGGAGATGCAGGCAGCGGTAACGGAGGAGGAGGCGGCGGCGGCGGCGTGTCTCCCGGTGCAGCGCCTTACGGTGTTCCAAACAAACCACAGAGTAAGTGTCAATGGAGCTGCTAGCCACGGTTAGCCACTGTTAGCCCTATTTAGCCTAGCCGCTAACAGATGTTAGCTTTTCTGACAGAGCAGAATGACAGTCAGCGGCTGCTCTTGTTAAGCGGCTGTCGCTCCGTTATGTCTGCTCAGAGTTCGTGTAGCTTGTGACATTATCTTTCTAAGCAAACATTGTTTAATGATAAAATTGTTTTTCTTTATGTATAATATTGCAACCGTACCTCGAAAGTGTGCTAACGAGCTATGTAGCTCATTTAGCATCTGTAGGCTTTTAAACTAAGCTTAACTTGACAGCGTCGTTCATTTTTTTTTTTTTTTACATTATTAGGTTCAGAATGTACGGCATATTTAGAAACTATAACCACTTTGCCCAGGAGCCCAGCTCAGGCCAGTGTTATTAGCATCACTTAGCATCTGAGAAACATCTGTTGAGACTGACAGGTTGTAAAGCCATTACTGGAGCTGATGGACGGCACAGTTGTGACCAATGGCAGCTCACGCAGGGAGGAACTGTGTCTGTATAAAAACTAGAAAAAAACAAACAAACCTGAGATTAGGGTTGTAATTATTTATATTATTATATTTTTTGCTCTGGGATATTTCATCGTCGATGCTCAAAGCCTTAATTCTTACTCATGTCATGTGCTGCTAATGCAGGACTGAACCTGATACAGTGACTGGCTGTTTTTTTTGTTCATACTCTAAGTGGTAAAGATGCTGATTTGCATTTCTTTGTAAAATTAGAAAAGGATTTGAATGTTTATTATTCTATGTATCATACAGAAAGACTACACCCTTCTTCATCAGAACTTGTATAAATTATTGGTTGGACTAGAAAGATACTTTAACCTAAGTTTAGAAAAAGTGTCCGTAATGTCATGAGTGAAAAATGTTTTTATTAGTAACATGTTTAGAGCCACATGTCTCTGACAATATCTACATTGTTCCAAGACAGTTTAAATGGGCCTTTAAAATAAATATTTGGGCCACGCTCTAATTCCAAGTGGTTACCAAAGTAGGGGTTGAGTCCCACTTGGGGGGGGTGACGTTATTATTTCCTTTAGTTTTGCTACAGTGACTGTTTCCTCACAGGGTTAAAAAAACATCTATGAAAAGAATTGTCTTTCCTGCTCTGCAACAAATTGTGACTGATGACATAAATGTGATAAGCTGAACTAATGCTGCTCCGCTAAGCCGCTAGACGACTTTTCTCAAAGTGAACATGGGAAAGAACCCTGTGTTAAAATGACACATAATAATCTAACGTCACAGACCTGCAGGAACGGCAACATTTGTTATAAATTAGTTGATAGATTTACAACAGTCGCAGATTAAATGTGTCAAAGGCAGAAACAACCGATGAAAAAAAAAAGTTATGATTCTCCACATCTCTACAGACAAAAGAGAGTTAATTTAAATATAGTGCCTGAAGTGTTCTCTCAGCAGCAGTGAAGAATTCTCAGTCTTATCGTTTCTGCTGTGAGGACAGTTATTTTATTTGGCGGTGGATCAACAGTAAGTGACCGAGTGTCAAAGGCTGACACTGAGCTGAGTGTGGTCCACTGCAACACTGTCTGTGAGCTGCACAGACAACTGGCTACTGTTTATGACATGTATCTGATGTGTTTTCTACTCCGTCCACATGATAAGATAATCACTGATAACATAATCAGTTATAGAAGCTTTTTTTTCTTTTCTATTTCACTGACAAGCCACCGCCTGAGCAGAAAAGTTAGCCGAACTAAGTTAGCTAAAATGGCTACAGTTTGAGCCAAAATATTCACTAAATTGAAAAAAAAATACTTTACAAAAAAAAGATAAATTGAATAAAAAATACTTTACAAAAAATAGACAAAAAATGATAAAAAAAAACAAAGATATCATAAATAAAGTTTCAGTATAGAAAGTTGTTTTTCCTCTTGCCTCAACATTTAAAAACCACAGTGACACTATGTTGTTTTGACAATAGGTGAGTTTTCTCTGTAAAGAAACATTTCACCTGTTCCTTCTCCCAGTCACACATCTTAACATTCCCGAGGAGTTTTCTACTTAAGTTTCCTCTCATTTGTACTCGACTCGAAATCGTATTAGCCTGTTTGTCGTTACCTACGATTTCACATGTCATGGGAACTGAGTGGAATCCTGTGACTCGTGTTTCCGTCTTAAACAATCCCTCATCTGTGACGACGGCTGCTGCTGCTGCTGTTTTATTATTCGTCCTTCTTCCCCCACCTCTGTGCAGGCTTCCCTCCTTTCCCCAGCCCCACTCAGCCCTCCGTGCTCCTCGGGGAGGATCCTCCGCCCTACTCGCCGCTCACCTCCCCGGAGAGCGGCAGCGCCCCAGTCATCAACTGCAGGGTGTGTCAGAGTCTGATCTCTGTGGAGGGAAAGATCCACCAACACGTGGTGAAGTGTGGAGTCTGCAACGAAGCCACGGTGGGTTCCTGCAGGAATCGGTTCCATCTCGGTCACTGTAATCCACAGAGCTCCGAGTGAAGGAGCCCCGTAATCTCTGGAGTAGACATTCCTGGTTGTGTGTGGGCCTCCAGGTGAAATGTTTACTGGTGTGAAATTGACACAGTAGGGGGCAGTAATACAACCCACAAGATTGACATTTGCTTGTAAGACTCAAAAAAAAAACCAAAAACACAGGTCTTAGGTTGTTAACCAGGTTAGCGTGGCTTAGCCCTGGTTAAGACAATAAATTAACATCTAATACTTTAATAAGTTACCACGAGCTAACGTGCCTCATTTTAGTGATGCTAATTAGCCACATGCTAAGTGTTGTGCAGTCCAGCTGACAGGCAGCAACCAGAGTAAATGTTATAATTATTTTTGTTTTGTTTTGTTTGTTTTGACCCAGTTCACATCATGATATTATTAAATATATAAATATTAGTAACTGATTGAGAAATGTGTACTCAGCACCATCTAGAGGACAAAGAACGAAGCTACATGCTCAATGCCGACACCAACGAAATACAGCTTCAGTTGGACAGCAGTCCTCTCTGAGAGGGTCTCAGAGAGGACTGTCAACAATAATCAGACTGTTGTCTCTGTGTGTGTGTGTGACTGTGTGTGACTGTGTGTGTGTGTGACTCCCTCCACAGCCCATTAAGAACGCCCCAGCAGGGAAGAAGTACGTCCGCTGTCCCTGCAACTGTCTGCTCATCTGCAAAGTCACTTCCCAGAGGATCGCCTGTCCTCGGCCATACTGGTGAGGACGTCCTACCATCCATGTCCCTCTGTCCCTCTGTCTCCATCCCTCTGTCTGTGTCCCTGTCCCTCTGTCCCTCTGTCTGTGTCCCTCTGTCTCCTGGTACAGCTGGACTGGTGGAGATCCTCTCTCTGAGGTCCATGTCAGTAACAGGATATTCTGAGGTTCAAGATAAAGTTGAAATCTAAGTGTTTTAATGTCAGATTAACGTTAGGACAAGGATTAGGATTAGACAGTTGTATGTGTGTATCTGTGTGTGTATGTGTGTGTGTGTGTGTGGGTGTCAGAGGCAGAGGAAACAGGAGCAGTCACTCCTCAGTTAACACTCTGCTCCCAGCCCACTTTACATGCGGCGTTCATCCAGGCAGAGCAGGAAGTAGCAGCAGCCTAATGAAGAGAACCACGTCTCCATGTTCAGCATGTTTTCACTGTCCACAGGTGGCGCTGTTCTCTTGTAGTCTGCACAGATTATCAGTCAGCGCAGATGAAGATTTAAGGATTGAACTGAGACCAAAGTCGTCCCGTTAGACTTGACTAGAATTCCCGACTGTAGACAGAAGTGTTGGTGCTGAGACCAACCAGTCTGGAGTCAGTCTGCTGTGGTCTACACCCTAACCTTCTCCCTGCTCCTGTGTCTGTCCACAGTAAGAGGATCATCAACCTGGGTCCAGTTCACCCTGGTCCTGCCAGTCCAGACCCTCAGCCAGCTGGAGCACGAGTCTCCTGTGGACACTGCAGTAACACCTTCCTGGTACGGACACCACCTTCTCTGTGTTCTTCTCATTAAAGACCAGAGTCAGGACCAGAGTCATCAGTGGAGTGTGTGGGTTCTTTTCTTTTCTTTTTTTTTTAACTGACGTTAGAGCCTGACCCATGTCTGTTGTCATTACAGTGGACAGAGTTCACAGACCGGACACTGGCCAGGTGCCCACACTGCAGGAAAGTGTAAGTTTCTACTGACTTGAACCATCAGCACACACTCTATATATGTACATATATATATATATATATGTGTATATATATGTGTATATGTATATATATATATGTATGTATATATGTAGATATATATACATATATATATACACACATATACACATATATATACACACATATACAGATATATATATACACATATACACACATATATACACATATACCGTATATACACATATACGTATATATATACACACATATACACATATATATACACACATATACAGATATATATATACACATATATATACATATATACACATATACCGTATATACACATATACGTATATATATATATACATACACATGTATACACATATACACATATTTACATATACATGTACATATATATGTATATATGTAGATATATATACATATATATATATACATATACACATATATATATATACATACATATATATATATACATACACACATATACATATATATATACACATATATATATATATAGTCTGTGTGTATATATATATGTGTATACATGTGTATGTATATATGTATATATGTACATATATACATATATATATACACATATATATACACACATATACACATATATATACACACATATACACATATATATACACACATATACACATATTTACATATACATGTACATATATATGTATATATATCTACATATATACATATATACACATATACCGTATATACACATATACGTATATATATATATATATGTGTATATATATGTATATATATCTACATATATACATATATACACATATATATACACACATATATACACATATACCGTATATACACATATACGTATATATATATATACATATACACATATATATACACACATATATACACATATACCGTATATACACATATACGTATATATATATATACATACATATATACACATATACCGTATATACACATATACGTATATATATATATATAAAAACATTAGACACATTTGCATAGTTTTGAACCAGATATGAGAGAGTGGCCTGAATGAAACTTTAATGAGGTGTCACTGATGTTCCTGGGTGTGTGTGTGTGTATGTATGTGTGTGTGTGTGTACTGTGTACTGTGTCTCAGTGTCCCACTTTCATGCCCCACTGGAACACTTTAATGCAACGCTCTGACTCGTCATTTATTACATTTTGGCTGCTGTTCAAACGCTGGCTCACTTCCTCTTCCTGTCTTGTTTTGGGTTTTGCAGCTCCTCCATTGGTCAGCGGTATCCTCGAAGGCGGAGCCTGTGGTGTTTTCTACTCTGCCTGCTGTTTAGCATTTCCACCGCCGGTTTGATGGTGAGTTGACGCCACCACACTGTGGTCCTCCTAGAGATGGGTCAGAGGTCAGAGGTCAGAGGTAGAGGTGTGTCACCTGGTGGAGCAGGAGCTGATCAGAAACAAACACCTCCCCCTGCTGGTGACTGCTGTGCCCTCTGGGGTGTTTGTCATTCTTTGCGTCAGCGTGCGTCAGCTGTGACATCACAGCCCCCCCCTTAACCTCCCCCCCCTCCCACTGAGGAACAGGGGTCTTTTTGCTACTGTTATATCTGTGACCTGAAAAAGATGGTCAGGCTTTAACCACAAACTCTTTTATCCACTTGTTTCTTTTATCTTTTATGTCAAAGTTCTAATTAAATGGTTATAAAAGTAGTTCAGCAATCACACTGTAAATAGTGTTTTTTTATCCAAAGAGCAAAGGGAATAAATGAGGAGAGGAGCAGTTTAAAAATAAGCTCGGAGGCGATGATATATAAAAAAAAAAATTTTTTAAAAAGCACGGTCGAGTCGTTCTGCTTTATGAACAGCAGAGGGCGCAAGTAGAACACAAAACGGGAAACCTGTGCGTATCAGGTCGCGCGGACAACGAAGTGGAAACAACGCGGGTTCGATTAGAAACACGGAGTCAGAGTGGAGAATTGTTTTTTTTTTTTTTTTTCTTTTTTTCTTTTCTTTTTGACAGATTTCTATCAGACGTCAAACGAGGCGAGGACGGCGGCTAATTAAAGATCAAAGAGAATAAACGGCGGCGGTTGTTTTTACAGAGGAGGAGAGAAATCGATGACACAATCGATGAAAATCAGTCTGATGGAGGAGGGAAAAAAAACAAACCTCTGGCTGCTGAGTTTATTTATGAAAATCCAAAATGTTCTGAACTAAAACTAAGAAGAAAATCATGAAAAGAATGAGATTAAAAAACAAACTAAAACACCAGTTTTACCAGCTCTACTGCTGCTGCTGTGGCTGCAAAAACCACGTTTCTTATGACAAAAAACTAAAAACAAAACACCTTCTGAACTCCCTCCTCTCTCTCCTGAAATCACTGAAATATTATTCTATTTAATTTTTTTTTTCTCCATTTCTTTTACATTCAGACTCTTTCAAATCAACTCAACTCTCAGTTCCATATTGGACGTTTTATTTTTTTTTGTTTTTTTGATCCCGTGGATGCTGTGAAAGTCACTCCTTCCATCTTCATTAGATCATTTTCTTCAGACTCTCCTCACAGCTGACTCTCCACTGTTTGATGTTAAAACAAGCTCTCTGATGGAAACTCACGCAGCTCGTGTCACCGTACGTTACTGCAGCCCCTGCAGGTACTGCAGGTACTGCAGTACTTTACCTCCTCATCTTATTGAAGGCCCGTCGTGTTAGAGGAAACGCGGTTTTGGGACTGGGACCAGGCCCAGGGACACACTGGCATGGAGTGGATTCAAGCTTTTTTTTTTTAAAGGGACACACACACACACAGTTTTACATGATATTTACTGCAGCACTTAATGCCTCTGTGCCTGCGCAGTCGAGGTGTGTGTTGTCAAGAATCTGTCGACACGACATGTATCACAATACGATATATTGCGAGGTACTGTGATACGACAGGCACGATGACATGTTGAGTTGTTTTTTTTTATTGTAGCAAAACTTTCAGCATCGTAAACACAAACTGATTTAATTCTTCATCTGATTTGACCTCAGGTTTTTGCTCCTCCTTCCAGTAAACAGTCGTTTTCATTCACTGACTGATTCACTCAGCAGTCGTTAGAAATCAGAACCATTTGATGTTCACTCTGTTTTTTTGTTTTTTATTTCACAGTTTTGTTAGCGTTAGCGCCAGTTGATTAGTCGTCCTGACTTCAGGCTGTGTTTGTCAGAGACGCCGTCTCCGTCCTCAAACCTCCCCGTCTCTCTCTGTGTCTCATGTCTCCTCAGGCGGGAACGTGGGTGAAGGCTCAGACCTACCAGGGGATCTACGCCTCCTGGGCCGTGCTGCTGCTGCTGGTTCTGGTCACCTTGGCTCGGGCCTTTTACTGGGCCTGCATGAGGGTCAGTCAGCCCCTCAAGAACTTCACATAGAGACCCCCCCCCTCCTCCTCCTCCTCCTCCTCCACCTCCTCTTCTCTGCTGCACCCCCTTCTCAACCCGACAGGCAGGAGGAGGAAAAAACTAAATCTGAAGAAAAAAAAAAACTCTGAATATTTATTTAAATTGGTCTTAAAACGTTTTCCTCCTCCTGATCTTCTCCTTTTAGTCAGTTGTGTTTCTAAAACTGGACGGCGGTGGCTGCGACCGCTCTGTATTTACTAGTAAATATGACGACGATGATGATGATGATGATGATGATGATGATACATATAGCCTAACGTACTGTCGGTCTGTTCTAAACTCGTGGCCAGTGTGGGCTCCATTTTAACATTCAACACTTTATTACATCATCTCACATCCCACCTGGGCTGCTGCCCACCTGGGCTGCACCCCACCTGGGCTGTACCCCACCTGGGCTGCTCCCCACCTGGGTTGCTCCCCACCTGGGCTGCACCCCACCTGGGCTGCTCCCCACCTGGGTTGCTCCCCACCTGGGCTGCTGCCCACCTGGGCTGCTCCCCACCTGGGTTCCGTTCTGTTGCTGTTCTGAGGTCTGACCCGTACTTCCTACATCCCGTCTGTGCAAAGATCCGATCCATGTTTTTCCGCGATCCAGATATATTTGTTAACAAAGGGTCCTCGTGATTGGTTGTTCTCACCTGGACTTGATGAAAAAAGTCGTTACGTTAGAACGAGGACTTTTTACTTCAAAGTGACGACTTTAGCCAAACTAAAGTCTGAGGGAATTGAACCGTCGATCCCGTTGAACGTGATGTTCTGAGTTCAGTTTCCAGGTGATCAAATCCTGGCTGCAGTACCGCTGTTGGCCTGAACAGAGTCTGTGTGTTGACACCAGCGCAGAGCTCCTGCTGCCGTTGTGCCGTTCAGCGAGTGTCCGCAGAGACGCCTGGATGTGGGAAGTACAACGTGGTCGGACGTAGACGTGAATCTCGCTCTAGTTTTTTCCGGACTCGCTCTCAGCTCCCTTTAGCGTTAGCATTATTTTTCAACTGAGACGCTAATTATTTTCCGAAACACAATGAAGTCAGTCGCTCGCAAAGAAAGAAAGACGGAACAATCGGAGGTCGCTGCAGACGACGGCAGCGACGGCGTGAATCAGAGGATGAAGTCGGTGAAGCAGAACGTGAAGGTTGGCTGTGATGTCTCTGAACTCTCTGTTTATGATGAATTATCCCCTGGGAGACACTTTGATCCAAAGCAGCTCGAAAGCCTTAAGAAAACGGAGGTGTGATAGAAGGATTTAACACACACACACACACACACACACACGTGGACCGGGCTACATGAATTCATACAGCGCACATCAAAAAGCTGATTCTGTTTATAGACTGGCAACAGCTCAGAGAACCAGCCTCCGTCTTCAAAGCTGCTCCTCGTTCTCTCTCCACGGTTCAGAGAAAGAGGAGGAAAAAAAAAAAGTTCCAAACAGTCCTAGAACCGTTTCTTACATTTGTACTTTTCATCAAAGCGCAGACACAGACTGATGTCGACTCACGTTTCTGGACCACAAACGCTTTAGACTGAGGGACGCCACGGTGGTGGAGTGGATTGAGACGGGGGCGGGAGGGGCTAGGGTTCGAATCCAAGCGGGAACCATTGCTTGCACCAGTAGACCACAAAAGGGATTTTTGTTTTTTAAATTTAAGAACTGGACTAAAATACACTTGAAATTTGTCCAAAGAAATCCTTCAAAAGTTTTTTAAAGATTCTTCGGAAGAATCTCTCGACCTGGAAACGTCTCCTGGTTTCCTGCTGTGATTCTTTGAAATTTAACCAAATTTCAATGAAATTTTTTTTTTGCAGAAATTGCAGAAAAACAAACGAGACTTGTACTGATTTCTCTAGTTCTGTCGAACCTTGGAGTTCTGGGATCGTAGCTCGTCACGTTTTACCAACGTTGGTTCGATTGTCAAACAGTCGTCAGACTTCCCCAAAATGACAGCGACAGTTTTTGTCCCGTCAACATGAGGAGCAGAGAAAAAAAACAAAAAAAACCAGTTGAGGTTTCGATTGGTTCCCCGATGAAAACCGACCTCAAATGAGTCCAACCGTTGTTGCATCTGCAGCGGCTCCAAAAACACAGCATCATCATCGGAGCTGAGCGGCGCCGTCCGATCATCTCTGAGAGAGTTGGATTATTTCAACCCTTCTTTGTTCTGTGAAACAGAACTCTTCACAACTCACGTCGATATCCAACTTTTCTTACGCCCCAAACCCTGTGAGCACGAAGAAACTTCAGTTTGGCTTTCTTGACAATTTTTATTTAAAAAAAAAAAAAGAAAAAAAAAAAGCTGCGCTGCAGTGGCTCTGGGGGGAATTCTGGGAGTAGAAAAAAAAAGAAAAATGTGTGAGCTTAGAAAAACACTTCTTTGGGCTTTGTCTGGTCTTTGATGGAAATCCTTCAGACTTCAGGACGACTAAACGTATACGTCTGAACACGACAAACCTCCAGATGTAGCGGGATTAGAACCGAGCCGCCGCACTTCTGCAGTTTGATCATTTTGATCAACGTTCACAGTGAAAAGTCGTGTTTTTGAAGCGTTGAAGACGGAGGTCGGTCCTGATGTTTCTGAGCTGACGACGGAATGTTTAGCTTCTCACTTAGCCCCATCACACACACACACACACTGACACACACACACACACACACACAGACGCGGCANTTCTCGATGTTTGTTTTTATGACGACTCTCTCTGAAGCTGTTTTTGTTTTTTTATTATTCTGATTTATTGTAAATATGTTTGTTGTTTATCTACGTTGTCGGTGACTAAGCTAACGATGTTGCACTCTGAGTTGAACACTACTGCTGTGACGCTGCAGACGGTTCTGTGGGTTTATTTATTTTTTTTTATGAAGGTTGTTGTTTTTTTTTTGTTTTTTCGCAGCTCTTTAACTGTTTCATGTGTAAGAATTGAACTCACTCTGAGGGCTGTCACTTTTTAAAGAATCAACTTTGACCAAATGTTACCCGTCGTAGGGTTCCTCACATGTTCCTGTTGCACAGGCACAGAGGCGTCAGGAAAACTAACGTCACCTAATTTTTTTTTAACATCATAAACAGTAGTAGTTCTCAGTTTGAGCTGTGCTTTTTTAGATTTTACCACAGTGAAATGATCGTTAACACTAATTACCTACATACAGTAGGCCACATGTTCGCTTTGCGCAGGCACAGAGGCGTCAGTCATGCAAATGGAAAATAATAATGTATATTGTTTTTAATGTAATGTTTTAATGTTTTAAGGATGGCATCATATAACACGTAACATTGTGATTTAGTTTTCTTTTTTTTTTATAACCGCCAATAAATGCGGTTTAAAAAGTTAAAACAGCTCTTGGGCGCCCTCTGCTGGACGTTATAGTAACAACTTGAAAGTTGTCAAACTTGGACAAAAAGTGACAGCCCTACGTACTGCTAACCTCATGAGCCTTTGGACAGAGACACGAACACGACACGTTCAACTCCAACCAAACAGAATCATCGCATTCCACACACACACACACACAGACTCAGCACCTTATACATAAGTGGGAAACACTGCGTACACCAAGTATGAGCAGATGTCGTTAGCCCCGCTCGCTACACTGAACTGAGGTCGTGGAAAGGTCGTGTTATTTATTATGCACGCTGCAAAAAGTGTCCCTCTTCAACGCTCGTGTCATTTTAGAGAAAAAAAAAAAAAACATTGTCAAATTTTTAAACCTTGGTTTCAAAACGAACGCTGTGGTCGGACAGAACCGCCATGACACAACATGACACGACCGCTTGAAGACGGGCAGTTTCTGCAGAGTCGTGTTAATGTTTCGTCAGAAGAAAGAGGAGAAAACGTCAGCCTGGCTGACTCTCTCTCTCTCTCTCTCTCTCTCTCTCTCTCTCTTTTCAGAGTTTGTTTACACACAAATAAAGACATGATGACGTGCAGAACAGACAGGAGCCGTGTGTGTGTGTGTGTGTGTGTGTGTTTGTCTCTCACTGGGAGCTGCGCTGTCGCTCATCCTGATTGGCCTATTTTTAGTCTGTAATCCGTTCAACTTTACATCAGCAACGGCTTTGTTTTGAGTCGCTGTTGTGAGTCCACTGTCAGAAAAAAAAAAAAAAAATCTGTCTGATCCAACTGCACCATCTCCCATATGTCTCTTCAAATATATGTTTTAAATAGTACTCTCAATATATATCGCAATACATCTGAACAAAACTTTACTTTGTCTACTTATATATTTATAATTCTTGACTATATGTGTATGTTTAAATATATATATATTTATATAAATATATATTTATATATATTTACATGAATATATATATATTTATGTAAATATATATATTTATATATGGACAAATATGTGTCTATGTGACAACATATAAAGAGATGTATGTGTAAATATTCACATATGCACATATATTACTACATGTGTAAATGTGTATATTAGTATATACATATATTATGTAAATATATATATGAATATATTATTTATATTAATGTAATGAATGTATTTATACTGTATATTACACATATATGTGTTAAATGTATATGTATATATGTATATATATATAAATATATACAGTATATATATATATATATTTGATATAAATATATATGTAAAACAGACATTTAGCCTTAATTGTGGGGGAGGTGATTTTCCAGGGTGAGAGTCGCTGGAACCTTTGATCCCAGTCGTCGCCCAGTCTTTGAACTCTGGTAAAACCCCACAAATCACCATCCTGCTCCTGCTGCTGCTCGTGCCGCCTCCGCCTCCTGCGCCTGCGGCTCCTGCTGCTCCTGCTGCTCCATCCACAGCCTTTGTGTCTGTGTTCTTTCAGCTGCAGCCAAATGAGTTTTCATCTGTTTTCTAATGAGCAGCTCATCACTGCAGACGAGCTCCTCTTCCTGTTTTCCTTTTTTCTTTTCCTTTTTCTTTTTTTTCCTCCTCTCTCTCTTCTTCTGGCACGTCTCGTCCCACGTCGGCTTCTTGAGTTTCATGCGGATATATTTTTTTCCTAGACACAAAGAGATGGAGGGATTAAGGGACAGTGAGCGGCTGCGTGTCTGGGCTGACGCTGCAGACGCTGTCGTAGGAGGAAGTTTGAGGAGAATAAATGTTTTTCTCGCCTACAGAGATAAACATCTGAACAAAGATGTTCTGTCCACTCACCGGCTCCCCCTACAGTCTGAGTCCGCATATACAGTCCAGATCTTAGTGATCTGTCCTTCTGGTCCTGGACGTCCTCGTCCGTCCGTCAGTTTAATCTTCACACCAGGACCGAACCCAGACCTGTGTCCGAGGGCATCACCACAGGACGATGACGGTACTGCAGATACCTGCTGTGAGACGTCCTGAGGTCTTGGACCACGAGTCTTCTCCTCAAACCCAGGCCTTCTGTCTCCAAACCAAACCGTCATAGCAGATCTCACCACCGTCTCCTCGTTTCCCTTCACCTTCACCTTCACCGTCCGTGTCACGCTGACACACAGGTCTCACGGCGCCGTCCTCGTCCTCGTCCTCGTTCTCATGACTAATATTCCTCTGCTTCTCCTCTCGTCATCTGGGACTTGACAACGATATAACGCAGGAAGGAAGGAAGGAGTAGGAGGAAAAAAAATCTCATATCCTGTAAATCTCCTCGCCGCCGTCGCCGCCGTGGCATCACGACAGCCTGGAGTGCCTCCGCGGCACCAGGTTTTTATGAGCAGTGACAGTTCCTCGAGGCTGGAGAAGAATCAGAGGTTTGACTAATCCAGTCATTAGGAGAAACGTCGTGTCTGTGCGTCGGAGATTCCCCCGACAGGCCGAGCGACGACGGTGAAATCGCAGGAACCTCGTGAATGTGTTATTTAAAGGCGTGACTTCACACACGTCTGGACCAATCGGCTCTGAATTCATTCAAGATTCTTCAAAAAAACTGACGTAAATGAATCGTGTCACAAAGACACAGCAGTTAGCACGGTCAGAGGTCAAAGGTCAGGTCGTTAATGACATCTACGACCGGAAGAGAAGGCCTAAGGCGGCCACTCACCACCAACGGTCGACAAGTGTTAGCAGCATCACAGCTAACTCCTAGCAATACAGCTAACAGCTAGGTAACAAGGAGAGGCTAAAGGTTAGCTTTAAAATGACAGTAAGAAAGTTAGAAAAATTAGCTTAGCTTAACTTAGTTTAGCCTAGCCTTAGACTAATCTAGAGTAGTGGTGACCATTCTTCTTCTGCAGCGCCCCCTTTTGGTTGTTCTTTTAGATAGGATCATTTCAAATGTGACTTCATGGAGCCCAGGAGCCTTATGTTTACCCCTCGTTTACACCAGTTGTTTGTGTGTGAACGCTGCTGACTGCCCCCCCCCCAATCTGCCCCGGGGGGGAAATAGAGCCTGGCGGTTGATGGTTACATTATTCTCTCACTTCCCTGAGGGAAAATCAAACGAGGTCTGGAGAAAAAAAACAAAAAAAATCCTGATTCAAGGACACGTCAGAGGCAGGTGTGACATCACTGAGCCGGGGTTTGTTTTTATAACCCGTGTCCAGAGGTGTCACCAGGTCTAAGCTGCTGTTTCCCACACTGTCCTGGATAATGAACATAGGGGGCGTGGCCTAAGTCCTTCATCCTTCATCCTTCTTACGGCTAACAGGATTTGACCCTAAGACCCGGAGCCTGACCCTCATCTGTTGTCCTGCTGCTGGACACTGTTGGTCAGTGTGTGTATGTGTGTGTGTGAGGGGGGGGGGGGGGGGGGGGGTACATGATGTCAGTGTGGTGTTGTTGTTAGTACACAGTCATAGTGAGTAGTGGGAGTACAGGGGAAGGGGGGGGTGAGGGGGATGACTGG